CTTGGGGACCACCAGGTGACGAGCAATTTTAATTCAATTCCAAACACATTTCCATTGATTACTCATTCTTCTAAAACCTGTGAAGGAGGCTTATTGGTGACAGCTTCTTCATTGTGTAGATATAATTGTTTTACCCCGAGAAGCTGAATTTCACATGACGGGTTTGTCCTTAAACAAATTGAGGGCTTATGATTTGAGGTCCTTTAGAGCATCTAAACAGGAAATGTATGAAATAACTGGAGGTTAGAGTTGATTCAACAAAGCAGTGAAAGAGAGGGCAATGTGGAAGGTTTGGCCTTTCCTCAAGGGAGAAAGGATAGATTAAGGAGGTTGAGATAAGGTAATTAGACCTGGACTGGATGTTCACTGTATACACTTTCACTGGACACACAGAGCATCAGTAACTCTATGGAAGGGGTTACTGTTAAGTGCCCTAGAACAACCTTCCCTTCCTCTGTTGACATACTGTTGACTCTGCTGCAACATCTACCTCTTCTTCTGAGTGGAAGATTGCTGAGAGTGTCATTTAATATTTAGGTTAAATAGATGACCTTTTGTGGAATCCCCCTTTAGTTTCTCAGGTGTATTAAATACATCTTGCTCAAATCTTCATACCACTGTTTTCATATCTCCAGTGTATCAGACACTTTGTAAAATAGTCCTTTTCATATTGTTCTCTCTCTCTCTCTCTCTCTCTCTCTATATATATATATATATATATATATATATATATATTGAACAAAACATTACTTAAGGGCAATAACTATGTGTCTGTTTTGCTTTTGTATCACTTAAGACTTTTTATAGTCTAAATACTCCTCTATGTTTTCAAAATCCCTGGTACTTTTAGTTACAGACTTCCTTTCTGTGGAGAGAAGGCCAGTGGCCATATCAACCTATTGCATATGTTCTCTTTGTTCACAATACTCTCAGCACAGAGTATAGGAAGAAGTTAAACTTAAGTAAGAAAAAAGTTAGAGATAAGGAGAAAATAAACAGACGATGATGATGATACAGTTTCCTGTCTCAAAACAAGGATAACGTGAAAACTGCATAGTGATACCTAAATAGAATCACAGATATTACAATAATTATTATAATTGTCTGGTATTTGCTGGATTTCAAAACAAGTCTCTCTGTCTCTGTCTCTGTCTCTGTCTCTGTCTCTGTCTCTGTCTCTCTCTCTCTCTCTCTCTCTCTCTCTCTCTTCCTCTTCTGTTTCTCCCTCTCCCCCACCAAATGGGATAGGAACGGTATTTCTTTCCAATCTGGTTAGGATTCCAGATCAGTTGATCTTGAGGCATCATTAGTTTATGAAGGAGCGCTTTGGCTAGCTCGGCCTCCTTTTTCTTCTTTCCTCTCAGCATAGTTTTGGCTTGGCCAGGTCAAAAGAGAATCAGCTTGGAAACCAGAGAGTAGGTTATAGCCAAAAGACTGAACAAAGGGGGTTTAGATGTGGCCTCCGTTGTCACTGAACTAACGAGGAAAAGTCAGCAAGAGGGAACAATTGCCAATTTGACTGTTTCTGATTGGTAGCTCCAGAGATGATGCCAGGTCTCTGCTGTGCCACAGCCCACAGAGGCCCATCATTTGGAACGTGTTAGCAAGACAACACCTAAAGCAGCTTTTTCACATTTGTGAAATAATAAATCCATTTTGTAAATCTTGGTGATAAGAATTCACAAAATTAGGACAAGATAACAATGAACAAATAAACAATAGTACAAGATACACCCTGAGTAGCCATCTGGTAGCTGAAAACCTTAATGAGTAGTTGACAAACATTCTTATAGAAGATGAAGGGTAGAAGTGCTTTAACTCTGCTAGGGCACTCAGATTCTATGGAAGGTCAAACATTCTAAGTCTAGGACAAAAGAAACCAGAGGGAAATGGAAACCTTCCTGAGATCTAGTTCAAGACAGGCACAGTCCAGTCAGACAGAGAGTAAAAGGCCCCAATCTCTGGCACTAGAACACTCTTTCTATTCTCAAAGATTATTTTTATACCAAGTTGGTTTTTAAAAATCGAAGCTTAGAAAAAAGAATGAATACTAGTTAAAATTATGAAATAGTTCCTCAACTTAGTTAATTCAACAGGTGTCAGTTGATAACATGGTCTTGTTAAAATTATAAAATAATGATACCTGTTTACTAATTGGATGCCTATAAATTGAGACATACTGTACAGCAAGCATTATGCTGGGCACGTGAGTAAAGAAAAATATTGGATCTGAATCCCTTGAAGTACATACTAGCTATCTGTAAAGAGAGATGGATTACTAAATTGTGCCATGGCCCCATACTAAATTCTGAGATACATTACTGGGGATTTCTAATACATAGATCTAGTATGTATTAGAGATCAGTGAAGCTTGATATAGTTTGAGACAAATAGAATATAAGTTATATAGCAAATAAGCAGGATTAATTTTTCTAAAAAGGGAAACATTCAGAATCCAAAAACAGACTAAGTATTATAAATGCATGAAATTTCTGTCATGCTACACAGGATAATATATATTAAAGACTAATTTACATTTTTCCTCAAAGTAAAAATCCATGGAAGATATAGTTCAATAGTAAGGTGTGACTAATAATGTTATATCCTTTGTCACTAATTTGGGAGAGTTACAAATACTATCTCTACTTCACTGTCATGAGACTAATCCTTGCTATCTGAACTCCTGGATGGCCAAGAGTGCATCTATATATTGCTGAGGGTGTGTATGGCATGCTGTATTCTTAGGCTAAGGAAGGTATCCTTGAGTAGGATGTGGAAGACAGAAGTTTGTGGGCGATATAGGAGACTTTCATCACTTCACCAGAGGATGAAATTTACATCAGAAATGTCAGAAGCAGCTTAATAACAGATCTAACAAAATCTCAAAATATCTTCCCAAGGAAATACATCAACAGAGGCTGAATAACCATTGAAGAAAATGCCGGAAGAGACAGAATACACAACATCAATGAATCTTCCTATGTTTTAAATCTTTAATTCCATCACTGTTTTTTAAGTGAAATTAGATTGCTGACACATAGTCATTATATTATAGCATAAAATTGACTGTTGAACTAAAACAATTCATCCTGTGCCATAGTGTTTTGAAACAGTACTATGAAAAAGAAACCAAATCCATTTCTACTTCCAAAAAGATACAATATTGGCATTATACTACAGTACTATAGAAACTTCAGTTTCCTAGCACTTTATTATGAAATGAGAAGGGCTTGTTCTTTTTGTCCTTGTGCTAGCTTTTGTCCTCGTGCTGTACACTTGTCCCTGGAAAAGAGGGACTGGAAGGTGGAATAATGAACCCTTGCCATCTGCAGTGAGCCTTCTGTGCCATTAAAGGGAATCCTAGGCTGTTCTGGTGGGCTGCCAACATTCCAGGACAAAGCAGTCAGATCTAAGCTGGGCCTATCTATTTCTTCTATCCACCCAGGCTCAACATGGCTTTATCTGCCTATCCCCTTATTATTCTGAACTCCCTTAATTGCCTGAGCTCTTTCTATCCACAAATAGTTTCATGAACTGTATTCAGGACCAATGTAGACTGATGGTAGAGATCTCGTCTATTCCTGCTTCTCACAGATTAACAGCTAATAAACACCATGCACTGCTCTCTCCTGTGAACTTCTTCTTAAAATACAGAGTTTGGTTTGCCAGCATTAGTGTATTTAAAGCCTCCATGATCCAGGGAAGCCTTTAGAAAGAGAAATGTACAAGGAAAGCCTATTCACAAAGCAAATTTTCCAACACAAGGAGACCATCAGTATATCAGTGTCTCATCCGAGAAGAACGCCAGGGGGATTAGCATCAGTTAAAGCAAGAAGGTATTTGTTCTCACTTAAAATAAAACCTCACTTTATTCTTAGCATGTAACAGAGCGGACCAAGTAAATTGCTTAGGTAGAAGGTCAGAGAGCATGCTTTCTTCAATAGGGAAGAGCTGTTTGCTGAGAGGAACTCCATGCCCGTTATGATGACTTGACAATGGAGAGACATATGCCGTTGTGAGTCCCCATTCTTCTACTTTCTCCCCACAGTCCCCAAGCCTCCATTTCCTGACACAAAGGAAACAGTTTTAAAGTAGTAACTACTCAGAAGTTCTACTCAAAGCTTTTAGCAGAGCTCCAAACAACATTCTGTTTTGAGGATGCTGCATATCATCAGCAACATACTGGAAGTTCCCTGGGTGGCTATTTCAGTACTTCAAATAGGGACATAGCTGAATGGTAAAGAGATATGCACACAGTCCAACTTACAGACTGTATGGTAGGAGGAAACCAGAAGATGTAAATAAATTCAATTTAAAAATATTAGATATTTTCTAAAATCTGACAGTTTATGACTCTCAATGGACATTTGATTACTAGTTTACAAATGAAGATAAACATTTGGAGACATGGACCGTTTCTTTTGCCTGTTGTATATTTTCTCTTTTCCTTTGGGTGGATATTTCTCACTGCAATAAAAACTTGAGTGTACTTGTTTATTCTCCTCCTATTTCTGTTGCCCTACTCTTCTCTGTTGACTTAGGAGACCTTTGAAGTCACATCAGCTTGACAGCTTCATTGAGCCTTCACACACTCTGGATGTGGAGTTGGCTCTGGGGCAGGATGTGTCAGCCATGATGAGGTAATGGTGGCGGCATGAGAAGCAGTCAGTGCTACTCTTTGCTCAGCTGTACTCATGATAGCCTTGACCTCAAATACACTTTATTATCATGGCCATTGAGCGTCTTTGGAAGGAAAATTGGAGCTAAATTTCATTGTGGTTAAGGACTTTCTTGTGAATGACCTGAATTAGTTTCTTTTGTTCTTCCTCCAGCAATGTAGCAGCATCTGGATCTTGTAATTCCCAGACTGATTTAGCCTAGTGATGTGTCTCTCAGTGCCTGTATTATGCCGCTTGTCAGACAACTTATTTTGCATCTTCAAATGTCAGTGCATGTTTGGGATTACTTACAAGTTGATTTTCTGGCTATTCTCATTCTAGAACTGGACTTGAAGCCATCATGGAGACATATGCATTCTGGAGACCTCCTGTACGCACACTGACTTTTGAGGACTTCACCACCATGCAAAAGCAACAAGGTAAAGCTTCCGGTAGGGCCTCTGCTCTGCAGATGACAGGGTATGGGGGGAGCTGAACTGAGCATGGCACAGCTGGCCCTAAGCCAACACAGGGGTTACATGGACTCTCTGGAAATAAAGAAAACTTACAGCTCCATGAATAACAAAGACAACACCAGTACTGCAAATGAGATGGATAAAGTCAGAATATCATTTGTATTCATAATTTTTTCTTAAAACCATAGATTTCTGCCATATTTCCCTTCTTTTGCTGTTGATAATACATACCATGATCAAAAGCAACTTCAGGAAGAATAGAGTTTGTTTTTGGCTTATGGTTTCAGGGGCTATAGTCCTTAATAGCAGAGAAGGCCTGGCATGTGGGTGAGATCAAGAAGTGAGAGATCAGGTCTCAACCACACACAGGAAGCAGAAGTACAGAGCAGGCAGAGACAAGGCTATAAACCTCAAAGCCTGCTTCCAGTGATGTATGTCTTCTACCAAAGCTGTACCTCTTGAAGGTTCCACAATCTCTCCAAAGAATGTCACAAACTGGCAAGCATCTGTTCAAACACATGAGGCTATAGGAAATATTTCTCATTTAAACCACCACACATCCTTCCTTCCTTCCATCCTTCAATCCTCTCCCCTCCATCCCTCCTTCCCTAATTTCCTCCCTTCCTCCCGCCCTCCCTCCCTCCCTCCCTTCCTTCGCTGTGGTACTAGAAATATAACCTAGGGTCTTGTGCATGCTAAGCAAGTGCTCTGCTGTAAATACATCTGCTGCCCAATGGTTATTTATGATAATGATTGCAATTGAATCATTGTGACTACTGCTAAACACTCACATAGGACTTGCCATTTGAAGAAACCATCATAATGTCTTCATTTACTCCACATGGAAACCTTATCAGTTTCCTTAGTCTAGTTTTTTTTTTTTTTTTCTGACAAAAGCTTTAGTTCTCAACTGAATGAAATGAGGTCTCACATGGGAAGGGGCTGTTCAGAGCCCATCAGAACTTTGCTACGTGTAAGCTATCCTTTTTGTCTGAAACAACAGCCCTGCCACATTGGTGTGTATGTGGACTTTGCTCCACTTGTTTGTGATTTTTTTTTTAAATAAAATTCTTAATCTCCCTTCTCTTGTAGCTGAGATTGGAAAACTTTGGTGAGGTATATAGAAGGCTCACAGGATTTCAATTCCTTTAGTCAGTCCAGCCATATTGAGGCCCATCTGTAGGGAGAAACCCTGATTACAGGTATTGATGACCACACCCTCTTGGGCGTGGTCAGAGTTGCATAACAAGGGTTTAAGAAGGAGAGAGGCAGGCATGTGGGTCTCTCGCCTGGCTGAGTTGACTAGGAAGCAATTCTGGGTCTGTCCTGCTCAGCTGCAAACCTGGTCACTGGCTCCCTTGTGTGAGTACTTTGCCCCAATAAACTACCATTTATCAACCTATCTCTGACTCCACTTTGTAATTGTGAATACCCATCCACTGGGGTTCTTAAGTCAAAATCTCCCAAAGCATAGGATGGTTTATGTTTCCTTCTCTAGTCTTCCCCTTCCACTGGGAATAATGTTCAGATTGAGTTCATTCTGTTCCAGGAAACTTATCATTGACAGAAGCCTAATTTTTGAATTTCTAGTTTCTTGGGAGGCCATTCCAGGACTCTATAACATCTGATACCACATGGCCTTCTCAAGAGAGCAGCTAATACTTTGCACACTGGTGTTGGTTTGTGACCAGCATTGCTGAAATACTTTTAGTTTTAAAGATGAATATAATTAAAGCATAGACTCATACAGGGTGCCTCCTGGTACAATTGCTTGCAACGCTGGGGCTGGAGGATCACAAACATAAAGCCTGTCTGGGTAACCGAGCAAGTTCAAGGCCAGCTTGTACAACTTAGTGAGACCCTGTCTGTCCCATTTTGCTTTTGTTGCTGTGATAAAACACCAACTAACAAGACCATGGGGAGGGAAGGGCATATTTGCTGACTATGGGCATATTTGCTGACAAGTTATAGTCCATCAGGGAGGAAAGTCACGGCAGAACTCAAGGCATAAACCTGGAGGCAGGAACTAAGATAGAGTACAGCAACATGACTTACTGGCTCACACAGAAGCTTATCCTTAGTTCTCCTTTTTATATAACTCAGGACCACCTGCCCAGGGCTGGCACTGCCCACATCAATCATTAATTAAGAAAATGCCCCCAAAGATGCCCACAGGCTAATCTAATGAAGTCAATTCCTCAGATGAGGTTTCCCTCTTCCCAGGTGACTTGAGTTTGTGTCAAGTTGGCAAAAAATTAATCAGCACCCCCTCACACACACAAGGGGACTTGGGCCTCAATTAAGTTGTGGAGCATTTGTATAGGGTGCTTGAGGATTTAGCTTCAATCCATAATCCTGCCTAACAACAAACATGACTTAAGTTAGACAATTTGAATAACTTCTTACCATTATTTCTTCCTAGTGTTGGGACTTTCTTTGGGTTTCTCAGCCTTTTTGCCATTCAGTTTTTCTTTCTGCATGCTACTGAAGAACGTAATATATTCTTGTAAATATTAAATGAGACAATGTATTTAAAATCCTAGTTAACTCTCAGTTATATGGTAAACAGTTGTCATGATGCCTGTATGGTCCGCATCATTGTCATCTTTATTTTCACTCCCTTTGTACAAGGGTGTCTGACATGACCTGGGTGGAAACTTGTTTTACAGATGATTAAGTATTTTGAAACATGATTAGGTTATGAATTGACAGGGCTCAGTTAGAGCAAGCAAACCAGCATTTCCTTTTCATTCTTCCATGGTTCTACCAAGTCCTAATTGTCCATTCAGATTTTGAATCCATCCACAGATTAAATAACTGACTTGGTCAAGAAAAGCATGACCTAATTGTTCCTGAAAACAACCTCACAGATACTGGAAATGTGTACCACTGGGTGTGTTTCAGTCTAGTCAATTTGACAGCCAAAACTGACCATAACACTTGGAGAAGTTGACCAAGGCAAAATAGACAGAAAACTAAGAATCCAGGTTTGTTATAGCCAAATATAATGTGACCCTGCCATTGTCTGATGGATATTTTAGATACAATATGTGCCTTGGTTTCTCCATTTATGCAGTAGAGATATTTGTATGATTAAAACAGAACTTTTATGAGTGGTGATCCAAATGATTTGACAGTTGTGCTGAAAGGAATGATTCTGGTTGCACCACAGTTAGTGCTTTATCGCCCTCTGTGGAAACACAGAGACCTACCTACCATTTCAGAAGCCTCCCTTCTGTTCAGGGGCTAGCAGACTTTACTGTAGATTTCAACACCACTGGATGTTTTGGTGTTAGTTGAATAATTAAATTATGGAGGTGATTGGATTTTCATTTATTTGTTTGGAAGTAGTTAGAAGCTGGCTAGTGGAAGAGATTATATACTTGACAAATCATATTAGTTAAATATTGAGGGGCTGGAGAGAAGGCTCATCAGCTAAGAACATGTCTTGTTCTTGCAGAGGACCCAAGTTGGGTTCCCAGCACCATGTTCTGTTACCCACAACTGTCTATAACTCCAGCTCTGTGAAATCTGCCTCTGATTACAAGAACACTTGCTCTCACATGAACATACCTCACCCTACATCTACACATAGTTAAAGATAAAATACTTTTAAAATATTGAGAAAATAGCTCAGTGGACATTGGTTTTTGAATTGTGAAGTCATTGCAATGATGCAAAGATGGCTAATTTATACAGATACCTCTGAGCAGGAGGAATAATGCAGATCCTTTTGCACAAAATTATTAAAACATACGGTATATATTTACTTTTAGGTAATGTGTATAGATACATGTGAAACAAAACATGGATTTTGTGTTTTGAGGTTAGGGTTTTATTCCTGGAATGTCTCAGAGGATATATATATATAAATATTCTGAAAATTTGAAAAATCTTCAAATTCAGAATAATTCTGGTCCCCAGAAATTCAGATCAAAGATACTCAACCTGTAATTGATAACATATTGTACTTTTACTCCCTAAAGCAGTGGTTCTCAACCTTCCTAATTTTGCAACCCTTTGAAACAGTTCCTCATGTTGTGGTGAACCCCAACAATAAAGTTATCATTGTTTCTTCAAAAGTGTAATTTTGCTACTGTAATGAATCATAACATAAATATCTGATATGCAACCCATGTGTACAGGTCATTTGGCCCCCAAAGGGGTTGCAATCCATAGGTTGAGAACCACTGCCCTAAACTCACTTAAGTTAATGTGTTCAAAACTGACCTAAGACCCTCTCTTGAGAGAAGGATCCCACATTGACTTGTCATCAAGGGTGTTTCTCCCTGCGCCATCCTTGTAGCCTATTGTTAATTCCCTTGAATCTGTTCACATCTCTGACTTCCCTTGCCACTACCTGCCTTTGATGTATCATCATCTCTTATCTGGCTGATTATGATGTCATCTATAATCTGCACATCATGATCTCCTCAGTGTTTCAAAACAGACATCTGCTCATAGCAACTCTATACCCTAACTTGCTTAAAATTCGTCAGCAGCCACAATTTATTTTTGTTCCCTGAACATAGATCACTAGAGATAGTAACAATGAGTATTAGATAAATTGGTACCTTAAGACAAACTATTTGCAAATGCACCCAGGCTTTACTAAGCACTCAAGGATGTTCCCTATATCCTTTAGCCTATCCCACCTCCCCTCTACTCCTGAGTCATTGTTTCTGCTTTCATTTTTCAGACATGCTGTGCTCTTTCCTGTCACATGCTGTTTCCCTGACTAGAAGGCTCATTTTTACTCACTTGCTTTCTTAGTGCTATCCCTGTTTGAAATCTTAGCTCAAGTAGCATTTCCTTGGGGAATTTACTCTGCCATTTGCAGTAGGCTAAAGCCTTATAGGGTCACCCCCTACTTGTTTCATTCTTCGTTTAATATCTTTCACTGATGTTTTTCTCAGTACTTTCCCCCTTATGATTAAATTCCTGGGACCAGGCATGATATCTAA